ATCATAATTTATGAAATTTATCATGAATTTAATGTTATTTTTTTTTTTATGTACCTTTGTTTATTGTTTTGTATCATTTTTTTTCTCGCTCCTTTGTTTAATTGAACAGCTCCATGATAGTGGTTATTTTCACTAAAAGTTTGAATTGTTGGTCCACTCGAGTACCACAAATAACATGTTTAGTCATGGCCACATTGATAGGGGGCAGCTATAGTTTTGACTTTTTGAGGAGCGATAGTGGTTCTGTCGGCTCATTATCTGCCATTATATATCAGCGATTGGTCACCGGTCAGTGCCGAATTTTGATATTTTTGTCTTTACTCAAGGGTTGAACTTGTTTCTCCATTCTCGTTATCCATCGTTCCCAAGCTGTGCCATTGCTATCCGTTTTTATTTTACCGTTCCTGTGAGGAGCTCAGAGATGGTTAAAAGATGTGTTCCATTAGGYGGCCGGCCCACCTTCATTGTCRTCGAAAGTAAAGCTGACGCYGTCTAGCTGGGATGTCCAGGAGTCCGTAAATTCGTAATYATCGAGYAATCCTAGGTCGTTGCTTCTTTTATATTAATTATTGTGTATGTCAGTGGTTCGTTGTAATGACCCACGGTTGAACTACACATATAGAATTCAGTCGATTCAGTGGTGTAATTATGGGGGACCCCCATAATTGGGTGAAAGTGAAAATGAAAATAGCCCTGATTCTGACTCTCCAAATGAAATGGATGATGAAAAAGTAATTAGAAAAAAACTATCAGCAACCGAGATTCTTAAAATGCTTTGTTCTTATAATTTAGTTGCAGCATTCCCAAACCTTTTTTTATTATATAAATATTTATGCACTATTCCTACAACATCTGCTGCAAGTGAGAGATCGTTCTCGAAGGTAAAAATAATTAAAACTCGACTTAGATCCACCATGAGTCAAAATAGACTTGAAAGTCTCATGTTATTGTCATGTGWAAAGGATATAGTTTTAAATCCAGAAGAAATTGTGAACAAATATGCTTTTACCACTTCAGTACTACAAAAAGAATTATTGTTTAAATAATAATACCAAGTACCTAGGTATTATATTATAATTATGTAAACTATCATTTGTTTTCAATTAGTTGTTATTTATGTATTATGTGGAAAGTATTATGTTTTCAATTAATTTTTATTTATGTATTGTGTTTAAAGTATACATACCTACTTAAAATTTATAAATTAAACACTTATATTTATGATTTTTTTCTACACAAGATATGTTAAAAAAACTTCTGTTAAAATATTGTTATAAATTATATTTAATTAAAATGTTTACTATTTTCTTTATAGTATAAATTATATTATACTGTATACTTAATTCTATAAATTAAAAATTTAATTATTATTCGACTAAATATCAAAATGTCATATTAAAATTTAAAGTTTGAAATTTCTAAATGTTTAGTTTTTATAAGGTACCTAGTATGCTAAATTCTTACAACATTACACATTATGTTTAAAACAGAATTTTTATAAATARTATTAGGTACTATGGTGTTTTTATTTTGTAGAAAAACACAAATTTATACCTAACAAAAATGTATTTATTTGATCGAATTTGTATGTTTCTCACATGATAGTTGCTGCGAGCGTAGCGAGCAATTTTGGTATAAAACCTGTTTTGGGTGGGTGGGTGGTTGAATGGATTAAATATATTTGGCTCCTTTAATTAAAACAGTTCACCACGCCACTGATGGGGGTTGATATGAGAATGATATATCCCCCCCCCTGGGACTTTTTTTTTAAAACAACCATAATGTTATTAAATTCCCGTAAGCACTTGGCTTTAAAAGATTTTAAGATGAGAATTTATGAACGTTATTATAGTTAAAAACTAACCTAACCTAACCTACTAGTTTTAAACTGCTATATACCTACCTCAACAATTGCAATTTATATGACAAGAAAATTGTACGGTTCATATTTAAAAGATAACTTTGAAAAAATCATTGTACCATTTACCTAATTTAATTTATAATAATAACAAAATCTATGAAATTTAATGGTGAAATGGGTATACGGTATACTATAGTATAAACTTATATATCCCACCCAGAACCAATTCCAAATTACGCCACTGTTTGTATTATTAATTCTATTACGTAAATTATTACTATCAAAATGATGTGAATTTCTATATATTTTACATAGAAATAATTATAAAATGTTGTGGATCAGTTGGGCGCCCTACTACTAATTTAATAAATCGTCTTAAATAATTATATTAAATTGCCGTGTGGTACGCAGATTATACTCTTTATTTATTTATAATATAATCTAGCCACAGTGGTAGACGATGGTGGCGCGAAGCTTTTTTAAAAACGTAGTAGTAGTAGCCACTGAAGTTAAGTTAACAGAAATAAACCGATTTGTACCATTTAAATACCGTACTAATTTTTGTTGATCCATCGGTCATCTCTACAKGGCAAACGGCTGAACAATTTAAGTCGTACAAATCGATCAGAAATATTGTGCAGTTGGGAAGAATCGAACAAATGAACACGAAAGCAGATAGATGGTTTATAAATTGCGAATGTTCCTCATTAAAATAAATTATTATTATAAGTCATAACCAAAAGTCTAAAAATGTTTTTTTAACATATATATAACTATAACTTAGATTCTGAGCGGAGCGATGAATGTATTGATTTTACCATATGATGTGTGTTTTTTTTTTTTGTGTGTGTCTGTCATCACGTTTTGGGGCAGTAAAAATGCTTTGATTTTTGACTTCAGTATACCTCGTTCGATCAGAAAGTGAATCTAGTTGGTACTTTGGGGGGTCAAAAGTAATTAAAAATTCTTAATATTTTTCTAAATAATCGAGAAAAACAAACTAAAAATTAAGGGAAAAACTGGAAATTTTACGCACACTCATTTTTCGACAAAA